GGTGGCCAGGAGTCGGCCAGGGGTGGCCATGGCCACCCCTGGCCACCCCCTGTGGCGCCATGCCCATAATAAAGTCTTACAAAATAGGTTGATGACCCCTTAAGTCACCAAAACAAAAAGAAAATAAAAGAAAATTTATTGGGAAAGGTGACGCGCGCAGAGAGAGAGAGAGAGAGAGAGGAGAGAGAGAGAGAGAGAGAGAGAGAGAGATCACAACAGTAACTTGCAGCGTAAGTGTCTGCCTCAAAGATGCCTCGGATATCTTTCTTACTTGAGTCACGTCTGTCTCCATGCGAATGATCCACCTGCGATCATCAGAGGAGTGACGCTCATTATGTGTGTGAAGATCGAACCTGTCACTGTCATTTCGGGCCGGTGAGCAGAGGTGAGGTGAGCGCAACCGCTGCTCTTTCCTCACACAAATCAAGCTTTTTCAGCCCGGTTTGAAGCTCATTCAATTGTTGAACCATTTCGTATAGACTATGAAGACCACTCGAAAATGCCGTGCTCTGCTGTCTGTGGGGTTAAATCTTCTTGCACTCTTATTCAAACGACGGCGTTCATCACGACCTACTGGTGCGAAGGGACTCAGAGGGTCCCCAAACCCAACTGCAGTAAGGAAAGACGGCATAATTGTATTGACTATGGGGTGAACGAGACAGACCCGAGTAAAGTTCACTATAGTTGGGAAACGGGTGACGATCGCTTTCTCTTTAGGCATTTTCACACGGCATCTGGTATTCGTGTGAGGAGAATATCCATGGAGGAGTAAGAGTTTAAAGTTTATCCTAAGCCTATTCAATGACGTGATGTTTTTTTTTATGTTTGTTTATTTGTCTGTGTATGTAACTCTTGTTTGAGGCTGTATACTAGCCTACATCTTAAACTTTGATATAGTCCCATATTTGTCTGTCTTCAGCAGGTTAAATTTAAGTAGTTTGACATTTATTCCAAACTGTGTGAAAGAATGTCAAGTAGCAAAGAGTGCAATTGTTAGCCTACGTGCTGCATCTTTTTTTTAAATTCACAAAAAGTTAATTGAACAAATGTATGTTTTAACCTAGTAGTTGAAAACTGCATTGTTAACAAAACACACACACACAACAAAAAAAAAAAAAAAAAAAAAAAAAAAAAAACTCGTGATTTTTACTATATCTGTCAATTAACATTCGTTATATGATCACAAAATAAATTGTACAGTAGGCTAATAAAATGATGAGATAGAGTGTTTTTGAACCGTGGGGAAACTTCAACAGGCCGTGTGTAAAGCAGTGTGAATGTGTTGCGCAATGGATTGGCGGGGAATGATTGTGCGCCAACAGCTTTGGAAACATCTGTCAGGATTTACTTAACTCTCAATGAGTTTCGAAGAACTTGGTAAAGGCACCATTAGATAACCACGTTCCCCATGGAATACAGTGAAATAAGCACTAAGCAGCTCATGGACAGACAGCTATTTTGAAAGGACCCTTTTTTATTGTATTTTTTATTTTTAAATCTCAGACAAATACAATTAGTTTCGTCACGAAATCTACAGCAGATCAGCATGGGTATTGGTTAATGAACATGCACTGATATCCCGCAAATGGAATAAAACATGAAATGTCACTGTGTCTTTTGCTATCACATTTAATTCAATTGGCTTTCATATTATATTTTATTTATGATAAATATTACATTATGAGATAACATCAGTTCAATAATACCCAAATAAACTGTGAGATAAAAAAAAAAAAACATGTAAAAAACTTTACCTTACTTGCACAATACAGTATGTATTGTGCAAATGGTATTATTTATGTAAGAAAAATGACTTTGTTTTCCAAAAGAAAATGTTCGGGGCTATCAGGTTCAAAGTCATATGTTGTCTCACAGACACTCTGACATAATGTCTTCAGACGTAAACAGAAAGTTCAGTATTGTATTCAATTTAATCCAAAATAAATTTTCAGGGGAGTGAGGGAAGGTCAGTGTGTTTTACGCTGATGAGGATTCAGTTTTGTGACTAGATTTTTTTTTTCCAAGTGCTGTTGTTGACACCTTTTTCTATCTTGTAATCAAAGGGATTTATGATTAATCTGACAGAGTCAGACGGGCTTTGTGCAGAAAACTCATCACACATCCACACAAGTTGCTCAGCTCAATCTCTGCATGATTGATTTATCATCATCATTAACATAATATTCAGGTATACCTATTATATAGGTATACTTCTTACATTTGTGCATTCATTATCTTACATACACTTTTTTATCAGGGAAGAAGCAAAAGAAAGCAAGAAATTAAAAGCCAAAATATATTGTATTATGTTTTGTTCTCTTTATATTAAAATGCAAAAACAGTTTAATGGCATAAACAGCAGAGCCATCAATAGCTGTTAAAGTTTTAGGAAGTGACCATTCTGAGTCTGACCAATGCTCTCATTTAACAATGTAACGTCCAAGAACTTGTTCATGTGGAGGAGGGGCAAAACCACATAGAGAGCTTGAAAATAAAGAGTGCTAATTAATAAATCATTCTTGAAGATCGCTTCTCTTTGCCCATTGCCTGATCACTACAGTAACATATCATAATGCTAATGGCCATCAAATCATTCACTCTCATTACAGATGCAATTACCCTCAACCTCAGATACCAGATTAAAAAACATTAGAAGCAGATCAAAAGCCAGGGGTCTTTAATCATATGGAAGACTGGAAGAACATGAATGAATTGAATGAAGATGATTACAGCTTTTAAATCCATAATGAGTGAGTCAGCCTATGTCATTTTGATTCCCCAGGGTAGGCATTGGGTAAGGAATTGCATACTCAATATGTAATATGAAAGCATCACACTGTGCCAGAGATTAGCTGTTAAAAGCATATAGATTCAGTAGATTTCTTCATTTATGAATTTTTGAAATAACATTGATGTCACTTTTTCAGTCACTTTTCTTTTTAAGGTTTTAAACACATTTGTGCGTGACTAGTGGGCCTACACAAATAGGTCTGTATCCAAAAATGGGACTAGAATGAATCATTGTAGACATTCCATGTCATTGATATAAATTAAATGATTACCACAAGTGCCTCCGTCCTAACTGATGAAATAAAACCCACTAGAAATTCAATTACTCATGTTCTTGCACCATCGGCCAGTTTTGGAATCGGTTAATGCATTTCTCCAGGTGCCGTGAGATTCCGTTATTCAAATTGAGGAGAGGTTACCATGGGCCACTTATCTGCCATGCAGGAGGATTAAACTCCCTCTCCAGGGACCTTATTTACTGCTTAGGTGAGACGCAATGAGAAAAAAGAAGTGCAGAATATGAAATCCAGAATATGACACCCAGTCATGGTCAATGGCAGTCATTGACTCAGTCCCAGTCAATGGCAACCTGACACATTCTGAACTACTTTCTGGCCATGTACACACTGCAGCTAATATACATTCTGTTGTCAGTTCACCTTTTAGAGCTAAATTCTATTCTTTACACACACACACACACACACACACACACACACTTGAGTGACAACCGCATTCCACAATTAACTCGCAAAAAATGCAGGTACCGGCAACCATGTTTATTGCAGTGTGTACGGATCCGAAATGAGCAACTAATCACGTATTTTAACATCCATCTGAGATGTTTCTCTCTTCTGTGTGTGAGGTGCTATAGAAATTACAGGGAAAGCAGTACGATCTTGACTTATTCCTTTTGCCAGATCTTGCAAGAAAAAAAGCGAACAAGAACAAGCGTAAAGAACTAAAAGAATCAAAATGCTTTATGCTGAAAATAAAACTTAAATATCACGACCCGCACCTGCTCACTGTAATAACTCCTTAAATGCAATCGCTTTATGAGCCAAGCTTAAAGGCCCACTGAATTGCCTTGAAATGTGTAGCATTGTTCAATGTGCTTACGTAATTTCCACTGAAACAGGAAGACAGGGCCGGACATATTGAGTAGCTCCTCCCCTTTTTAAAACAGCCAATTGCTCATCTCAGTTTGGCTGTTGAGCTCAGTAAAGCCGCATTTGGCAGCTTATGACAGCCACAGTTTAATAGATTCAGAAAACGTAATCATAGTCTGAACAAAAAGGTAAAAAAAGTAAACATAGTCATGCTGAGATTGCTTGTAATTTATGCTGGTGTTATCTCTTCTACTCGTCAGTGCTGTTTCTAATGCCGAGTTGGTCAAGCCGTTTCTCCTCCTAATCTCATCCATATCGCTTCAAAATACAGCATTCTGTGTAGAACTCAAATGGGTCCGATACATTTTGTGTTCATTATTGTGTGAACAAGTGACCAATTTTAGCCACAGCTTCAGAATCTATGTATTTATAGTGTAGGGGATTTTTAGTGTGCATTTAGCACAGTGTCATTCATCGCAGTTTCTGGAGTCGTGTGCCATACACACACAGAACGACGATAATGTTGTGGATTCACTTCCTCATCTAAATGTGTTGTCAGTCCTGAAACATTACATTGTGTATGTGGCCTGTTTGATTTATTTCTCTTCTGCTGTCATTATAGAGCAGGTTTCTGTAAGGAACCACATGTGGGATATTTTGATTGAACATTCAAAAATCTTATTCATCCTGGCAGTGTTTGGGGGTGCAATTTATTGCCATTTATTTGAACTTTTGTACTTTAGCCAAGTTTTTAAATGCTACTTTCCCTAACATTCTATTGATAAAGCATTCTGAAAATGTCGGTTCAACCCCGAAGTGATAAAATGAAATTCTTTATCGAAATGTATAGGCATGGTTTGAAGGCAATTACAAACATGTGCACATATATTCAAAGGCACATAACTATATAATCAATTCTTAATGTGCATGTGAACGCCATCAGCGCTTATTACAGGTTCGCATTTTAAGTCCGTTGAACGTTGTCGTCTTAGCGGCCCCTAATTTTATAACAAATGATTATTTCATCGGAAGTGAATCAATCAAAACTAACTTTAGCTGGAACATAACATTATTCAAGAACCACTATAAAACCAAACTAACACTGTAAAAAAAA